TTGCAAGCGTGCTCAGAATACAATGTGGCCCTTCGTCTAGCTCCATCGAGGTGCATGTAAATTGCTCTCACAATTAACCGTTCCTCCTTCCCTTGTCTTGGCCGATTTGAAAAAAAACATGATTTTCTTTTGCGATGCGTCCTCAATATAACCCTCGTTATTATTATTATTATTCGCGGTTAACTTCTCAAGTAGACCAGTAGCGATTAAAAAGCCACAAAAAACATTCCTTACGATCTGCATTAAGTAGCATTTGGGACGAATAATAATTATTCTATGAACCGAACTGAGCACGCTTTATTCAATGTAAAAGGCTCGACTACAAGCAAAATTGCGTAGTCATTCCTGGTTCACTAAGCAAGCAATCTAAATGCCCAGCCAAATGCCATCAGTCTGCGAATTTCAACAAGATATTTGGGCAGATGCTGAGTAAATTCATGCATTCCTAGCCTGTAAGGCAGCCTGCAGGGCGCCAACAGGACATTCAAAGGAGTCGCATATCGATTTTGCGGCAGACTGGGGATCGATGTTGGAGCGTTTGAATCTGGCCAAACGGCTACCACGTCAGTATTCGCTGGCGCATGGCCATGGCCGGATGTAAATCTGCAACGCTGAGAAGGTCCACCAATGCAACGCTGAAGTTGAGAAGTTTTATCGAAAGGCTGAGACGATGGAGGAAAAGAAAAACAGCTCCTTCTGACGGTAAGTGCAGATTAATAATCTCATCGCTTTTATTTCGAATTTGATCGGAAATAGCATTTGGACGAGATTAGATATTACATATTATTCCTTGCTTATTTTTAATTATAAACTAGACTTAAGAAAAATAGAAAGGGCAACTTAATGTCCCTGCCTTATTTTCCACTACTGATAACTGGTAATATGCAAATATTTATACGGTAGTAAGTAGGCCCATTTCACAAACAGTCATGAGAGCAAGTGGGCCAACTAGAAGTCAATGACCCTGTCTTTTGCATGGAGAAATTACTTGAGAGGTCACACGCATTCCGTTGTCTGAAAGACAGCATGCATCTATTGGTTTGCACTCATAGTGGGTTCATAAATTATTGCCGGAAAGATTACTTAGGCAATTGCGCACACATTAGCATTTCGAACCATCAATATATTCGTTATTCTGTCTGTAGTTTTCGAACATTCGACTACCAGGGGGCCAGTTTTCGAGGGCGCACTCTCGGAACAAATAGAATCACTTGAGCACCCAGTAAGTCCTCGGGGTGGAAAAGTTTGGTTACTGATGCATTTGTGCATTTAATGCCCGGTTTCATCCTGTCTTTAAACGTCCTTTTCTTTGTGTTTAATAGGGCGTTCCGAGAGTCCTGGCCAATATGATGGAGGCTCTCCGCCTTCATGGCCTTGACTTGCAGGGCGTCTACCGAGTCCCCGGTAGGCTATCCAAGATCCGAGAGATTACGTCATTGGCGAATTCTGTAAGCCACCTTCTTGCCCCTTGATATGCTTTTCATACCATAAGATTCTCTAGTCTTCAGATGTGCGCTAATATGCAATCTGGTATGTTTCTTACGTTTCAGAATGCGGACCTCGCTTTTGATCTGCTTACATCAGATCGCGGGACATTCGATGGCAGGGCGATATCGTCGGCCATCAAACAGTATCTGACAATGTTGCCCACCAGCCTGTTGGATGCTGAGGTCTTCGCTGCCGCCATGACAGAGGATGTCGGTAGGTCTCTGCGGGCACCGGCAAGTTTGGCAAGAACCCTAAGGCGATTGCTAACGGCTCTCATGTCTTCTATTGACTGCCCCGGTGGAAAAACAGTTAGCGACCGAGAGAGGGAGTGGCGGTTGGCCACACTCGATTTTGCCATGTGCCATTTCCGGGAGGTTGTGGGGCTTCAGGCCCTCAACTGCATGAGCCCTTGTGCACTGGCGGTGTGCCTATCGCCCTCTCTCTTTGGCACCGTTGACAATGTCGAGGCCAACAGTCAGGTACGCTTAACGCAATTTCCATTCCTTTTGTCTCGACCTGCAATACTCTTTTCTTGTTTTCTTAAGAAGATTTTATGTCTGTCCACTAGGTGCTGGAGCTCTTAATAGAGCATTGGCCTTGGCTGTCAAGTGGTCTGCACCGCCGGGGCAGTCAACCGGTGTCCACAGAGAATCCACAATCGTCTTTTGCCGATGCCTCACTCTATGCCTGTCGGTAAGTCCCTTCTTCCTTCTTCGATTGCAGTAGCTATAAGGCTAGCAAATCCAGTGCTGTGTTGTCAGAAGACTCTGA